GTGTTTGTGATTATCAATAAGATTGCCATCAATAGTGGGTCTCCAATCCCTAACTTTAAGGATATACTTGATAAGTTAGTAGGCACAAGTTGGATTTTCAATAAAGATATTTGTACTTGGGTGCATGATTTGAAGGTTGTACTAGATGATGAATGGAGGATTGCCATAAAGTCCCATGATGGATTATTCAAGAGTTTAGTTATGTCATCTAGTCTTTCTATGCTTTTGTGCCTTTCTTGAGAGCAATAATCCCATCATCATTCAATTCGGCAGATTGCCTTATCTCAAGCAACTTGGCTCGGCTCGGCTCAATATAGTCAGCTCAACTAAGATGGCTTAGTGTCTCTGCTACTTGTTTCAGTCACAGGAATCAATATGTGAAGTTGATGTACAACTCTCTGGCAGGCATTTCTGATTGAACTTCTGGCAAGAGGTACATTGGTACCTCCTCTCCCCAGCTATGGGGTCAAACAATGCTGAAGGGGTCAGAACTGGCAAAAACAACATTAACTGCTATAGGATAGTTCAATGCAAGGCATGCTAGAGCTTCAGGGAACAATGGACGATGAGGTTTCGGCAGGAGGCTGGTCAAAGGCCTTTGTTACTTTATGTGGTGGTGTCTCAATGGTGAAGTTGGAGGATGAAAGAGTGCTGGCGACTTGAGTATGTGCAATATATTTTTTTTTTGTTACAGAGAGCATAGTAGTAAGGTGGGGATAGAGTTTTGGGCCTGAAATCTAGGATAATTAACAGTAGAAGTACAATTACTATAGGAAAATGTGATAAATAGAGGAAAGAATAGCTAGAAGAAAGGATAGATATAGGGGGAAAGGAACAAAAGTGAGTACTTCAGAGAGAGAAAAGAAGAATATCATGTATGAACTAAAAATAGGAGAGACAAAAATTAGATAGAAATGTGAAATAATTTCACTAGAGAATTGATCAATTCCAAGCTCAGAGGCGTTGTTAAATTATTAGTTAGTGGACTGGACTGGATCTTGGACCGATTTAAGGGTAGAGATCCAGATTGAAGATCTGACCGAAATGAACCATATTTCTTTTTTTTTTTTAATTTCTAATTAAAAATTAATAAGAATAAAACTAAACAAAGATTATTATTTTATATTTAGCATCTCTAATTCAATCGATCTATCTCAATCTGAACTAGGACTGAACCGAAATGAATCAATTTTCTCGAATCCTTGGTATTCAGACTAGAGTCTAACTGGACCTTTGATCCAGTTCGGTTATTGTTTGTCTGGGTCCAGTACCCGCCATTCAGTCCAGTTCTCTCTGGTTTACACTTGCATGGTGTAATACTTTTTCCAAGAAGAGAGCAGTAAGCATCATGTTTGTATATGTGTATCGGCACTCGCGTGTTTATCAGATATGTATAAGTGTATATTAAGCAGTGGATAATCAAATATGTTTGTAGTAAGCATTATGTTTGTATATGTGTATACGTGTGTGTATGTGTCAGTAAGCATTATGTCAGTGAGTAATATGTTAGTAAGGACTATGTTTGTATGTGTATAGGCACTCGCATGTTTGTCGGATATGTGTAAGTGTATATTAAGCAGTGGACAATCAAATATGTTGACTAACACTTGCATGGTGTTTATTTAGCCTCTGTGTTAGTGTATATTAAGCAGTGGACAATCAAATATGTTGACTAACACTTGCATGGTGTTTATTTAGCCTCGCAGCTGTGCATGCTTCCATTGATTTTGTTTGTCAAACATGACACATTATATTAGAACAAACACCATTCATTTCGCATTTTCATTTGCTTATCACAGTTCTTTTGTTACATAAGTTCCTGAACTTTGGAAATTGCATTGGGAACTTCAGGTTGCACAATATGCATCAGATGCTGGAAATGGAAAAACTGCTTTTAGTGATGTTGATGAATGTCTGAGGTATAACAAAATTATTTAAACTATTTCCTTTTCCTTTTTCATTTTTGTGCAACTTGTGAGCCCAAAAAATCATACGCAAACTGGAGTAGGAGCTTTCCGTGTTGAGCAGCTAGTATTTATTTTAGACGAAACAGAGGGAGATTAGTTAGACACTGTCAAGGAAGCAAAACATCAAACTGCTGCAAGAACACTAGGGTATTAGAAAAATAATCTTTGATGGCTTGAAACTAAAAGCTCTCTCTGTTTGAAGAGCCTTGGAAGAACTCGATTCCCTGTTTCTGCATGCATCAAGGAAGGATCCAGATGCCTCAGTAGGCGCCATGAAAGCGAAAATTGCGACAGCCATAAGTGCGTTAGACAGGTACTATGCTTGTGGGATTTGTTTTCCCCCTTTTGTTTTTGGGTGGTTAGATTAATTTTCTTTAACCATCACAGATGAGGTCATAGGGATTTATTTTCTCTCTTTTTTTGGGTTGTTAGATTAATTTTCTTTAACCATCACAGATGAGGTCATTTTTTCTGATAGACTTTACCCTTTTGTAGCCTTCTACAGACTATACCCTCCGATGTGCTAGATAAAGGGAAAGCAATAGCTGACATGTATAGAACCACAGAAGATGTAAAAGCTGAGATATCGGACCCAGAAATAAAGCAGTTGGAATCAATACTCTGACTTCAGTATTTCTCAATTCGATCTGCATGCCTTGCGCTGAGCTGATATAAATTGTGTTCATTTCTATAACATTAAACCATTAGAATATACAATCATTATAATCCAATATCAAGGTCAAATTACATGACTGGCTGTGTGATTATAATCACTTCCGTCACATGGGCACTGGTACGCAGAGATCACCTAAGCTAGCAAACCAACTAATGTAAGTCACTAAGATCACCTAAGCTAGCAAACCAACTAATGTAAGTCACTAAATTTTTAAGGCCGTCGGGAAGTAATTCAGAGATAACCAAAGCTTTTAAGGCTAATTGAACATGAGGAAGGATTAAGTATACCAGTTTAAGAAATATACTTCTTAAAAGGACTATGAGATGACCAAAAACACAAAAGAAGAACAAAAAGATTACTTATTTTACTATTACATGAGATCTGCAATGCATTAAGTATCCACACCCAACAAACTGATGATCATTTACAACATTGAAGAGCACATCATGGCTACAAACACCAACTTGGTTTGCAAACGAGCAATAGAAGCGAATACGCTCTCAAGAATTAGACAAAATTCTCAATCATATTATGATGATGAAAGGCTGCTGAAGATGCGCTTCAAACTAGGGTATGCAGCTCGTAACCTCCCCATACTCATCGAACATATCTATCAGTCAGTATAAGACAAAATCAAATTTAAGATGCATAATTTTCCCCAACAATTGAGCTATTTAAATATAGGATGACAAAATATGATATACTAATGGCTGAAAAAAAAATATGTAATAAATGGCAAGCTCACCTTCGGACAAAAACGGACATCTAAAGTCTCCAAAATGCTACATTGAGCAATGGCAGTTTCAACTGCTTCTTCGTCAACATTACAAGACTGAAAAAGCCCCAGTAGCAACACATTTGCAGAAACAGGAATTAAATGGAAGCATAGCCAAAAGAAAGCACAAAGAGGAGCAATCCAGGCATTATTCAAACACCCAAAAAAGTAAATGATTTTGACTGTTACAGATAAAAGGTATACCTGAAGAAAGAGGCTAGTCAATTTTGGACATGCTAGCTTCAGTATTTCCAAAGAGCAACAGTTGCTGAATAACATTCAAAACATAAACGGTTAGAAACCAGGATAACAAATCACCCAATCATATTAAGTGAGGAAGATTCAAACCTCAAATTAAGGAAGACCAAATTGAAACAAGCAAGATCGACTTCCTTCAAATTTGCAGATAGAGAGAGGTTTAATGAAGACAAATGATAACAGCAAGCTGCTGGTGGAATAAGAACTTTTCTAATATTAGGGCAACCCACGCAATTGAGGTTCTGAAGTAGCCGATTGGCCTGCTCAATCGGCTCATTGATGTTTTCACATGTAAACATATCAACAGATGACTGGTAAACAGTTTCAAGGAGCTGACCACCGCCAGAACCCCAGTTCAGGTCATGCATGTTCACACAACCATTCAAGCTAACGTGAGTTAGATGTGTACAGCATGCAAGAAGCTCCTCCATAGCAGATTGACAGAGGGTCCCATAAGATAAGTCCAATTCCTGAAGTGCTGGTAAAGCACCTTCCTTGTAAAGAGGCTCCAATGAGTCATCGGCTAGATACTTGCATGCTTGTAATTTTAACACCTCAAAGAAGATTAACCAAAAAAACAAGTTCAATACAATAGAAAAAAAATAAAAAACTTAAAAATACAACATAATAAATTGGACTACAAAGCTTGCCACTATGGGGGTAAATAAGTTTTGTTCTATGAAATTACCAGCTCTCCAAAAAAATGAAAAGAAAAACAATATATTCTCTAATGATCCAGTGAACTTATAATATGTCAATGGGAGTAAATAACCTAACAATGAATCATCATGGATAGAGGACATTTGTTCCAAAAGAAGTATCACAAAATAAAATGAAATATCTACACTGGGTAGTTAAATTAACATATCACTCCATGACTATCAACCTTCAGTCACTTTTTCAGCGCTACGCATTGGCAATCTTGTCTACTACATAAAGAATTTTATGCAGCATCTTGAAAAGCCATCAAATTACATATTTCAATGTGCACATAAAGCAAGCAATTCAGTCTGCAAAAAACCTTCTTGAATGAGAAGAACAAAAACTCCAAATGTAGGAATATATAGTAATTACCTTTAGCTGCAGACAAGACTCAAAAACTGGCTGCAAGTTTGTCAGGAAAGTATATGACAAATCAAGCAGAGTTAAATTTGGAAGCCACCGCAGAGAGTAAAGTCCCTCAGGACAAATAGATGGACATGACATTAATATCAGTGATTCGATTAACGGGCACGAAGCAGTGGTTGCAGACAGACAATCATCCTTAAGTTGGCTACATGTGAAAATAATAGGGGAAGTCAGCCATAATATCAGGAAAAAGGAAAGGATTATCTTTGGAAATACCAAATGAAATATTGCCTGCAAAAGGAAGCATCCAGAGATGTCAGGAGAGGACAGTTGATGGAACCCTCAGATAAAACGCCACATCCTTTCAACTCAAGAGACACCATACATGGCCCTTCAATACTGAGTGCATTCAGTTTAGGACATATTCCCAGATTTAGTGACTGAAGAGCAACTATTAAAGAAGATCAAAGTTGATAGGATATCTGTGAACGCTTTTTATGTCGTTTTGACAAATGAATTTTATTATCACTAATGAAACATTCATACTTACAGGACAAAAATATGCACTTTCAAGATGATCACAGCCATCCAAACAAACTTTCTCAAGACTGGGGCACATAAGTTCAAGACACGTAACACCTCGGCAACCAACAAGGGAAAGACTGACTAAAGAAGTACTGCAGAACCGGACTGCTGTCAAGCTCTGACCAAAATAAAGATCAGAAATTCAGTTGCAAAGGAGAAGTAACACATTAACAAAGAGTTTGGTAGAAGTAATCTATCTGCGAGGAAACAAGAATATTCACCGTAAGTCACCCAAATGTATGCTGACAAAAACATTGAATATTATGCCCAAACGTTGCACCTAGTGTTGTGCATATGTCATTCATAAAGCATATTGCAAGCATCATGACATCACTAGTTTAGATGGGAAAAAGAACCTATATCACAAACCTCGCAATTATCAAGAACTAATGATTTTAGCATTGGGCATCCACCACCATCGCTAAATACTTCACAAATAGTATTTGTCAATGATTCACAATCTGTTAGGTCCACTTCCTGCAAACATTGACATTGCAGTGCCAATGTTGTTAAGTTTTCCTGCTTCTGCAATGCTAGTTTCTGCAAGTCAATTTACACAATATATCATGAACCTAGCTCCAATCAGCGATTTAGGAATCAAAGAGACATGATTGATTCATAAAGTTACATACTTGAAGCGCATTTGAAGTGATGTTAATACGATGAAGTGCTGGGCAATTAGACACCATAATAGATGACAGCATGGTACTTCGCAAGTTTAAATCAGCAAATCTGTATAGAAAAGTTGAAAAGGAAACAAAGTGAGGTAAACATCTCCCACCCAGAGAAGTAACTTTGAATTTGGATAAAAATTGAAAGAGAAACAAAATGAGGTAAACATCTCCCACCCCAAAAAGTAACTTAGCATTCAAGGAATCTTAATAAATAAGATGGATCAGCAAGCATACTTGCGACAATGAACCAATCGAATACTTTGTAAGCGAGGAAGATCCAAGGACACAGAGGTCAAAAGGTTACAATTATCAAGCTCCAAGACCTGCAACAGATAACAATATCAATTCTGACATATGAAGTGGACTGCAGAAAACCAGTATCTAAAAGTAACAGAAACCAAACCTCTAACATATAACTATGAGCTATTGCAGCCATTGAAGCTGAAGTGATACCCTCACAGCTGTGAAGCTTAAGAACTGTTAACATGGTCAATCTTACAGACTTCAAAACAAAAAGGAAAAAAAGAAAAAGAGAAGACTGTCAACACCATAACAAAACAGCAACCACCTAAAAGAATACATTCTAACGATTTATAAGAACTGACCTCAAGAGATATGTTAGAGCAGTAAGAGGCATTCAAAAAATGGAGATTTATGCAGGTGAGAGAAATTTCACGGAGCGTTTCATCACTGACACAAGTACAATTTGACATGTCTAAAGACTCTAATTGAGGGCATGAAGTTGCTGCAGAACGAATTGCGGCATCTGAAAGTTTGTGGCAGGAACTTATATCAAGAAGACGCAATATTGGACAATTAAGCAAAGCCTGTGCCATGTTGCTTCGTTTCAATGACAATCTCCTTAGTTGCGGGCACCTGCAGAAGAAAATGTTTCAGCATAAAGATAAGAGTAACCCCAAACAAGGACGTAATGAAAAATCAGAATAGTATTACCTAATGGATAATCGCATAACACGGCATTTTGCAAGTTTTAGATGACGCAAGCGGTCATGGTTTATAGGAATCTCTTGAACACCAGTACCAAGCATGGTTTCACTGATAGTCAAACTCCTTAACATATTACAATCTGCCAATGCATGGAAAAAGGCATCGCCCACTTGCCTTTTTCCAAAGTTAAAGCTTCAAGGTTCCTGATACCAGAAAGATATAAATTAATCATGCCCCTTATGAGCTATTTGATTAGAACAAAACTAATTGCAGATGATAAAAAGACCAGTTACCTCAAA